GTGGTCGCTAGGATCCAAACATACCACATATCTTCGATATTAGCATATTTGACTCAAACCTTGAGTGGCCTGAAACAATGAGGTTTTGTCGAGATTAAGGTAGCGAGGCTTCGTGAAGGACGTTGATGTGCAGAAAGGCTTCGCCAAGGGTGTGACAATGAGGTTGCACTGAATTGAGCATCAAACAATGGCATTAAGGGAAGATAAAGAAAGACATATGAGAAGAAAGATGAGGATGAGAAGAGTGCAACAAGAGAGGAGGTTGAGGAGTGATAAGAAAGAGAAAAAAGAAAAGGAGAGAAAAGACGAGAAGAGAAAATGGCGATTGATAGTTTTCTAATAGAATGAGGATGAGAATTTTGATTTCTTTGGGTTCTCGAAACGATAAGTGTATTCAACCTCCAGTTAGAACCAACTACGTGTACAAAATAAAGACTATAAAACTCCTCTCGTTCGATTCAGTTCATACATATTTTAAGACAAAAATTGTGGATTGAATTTCTATCTTAGAAGGTGATGTGGAGCATGATTGGAATTGATTTTTAAAAATCCTTCTTAAATTCTAGTTAGGAGCTCATTTAAGGAGCCTATTGGAGATGCTCTTATCACATTACTTCGATCCATATGTATTGCGCATCTACATTAGCGGGAAGGATCCATTATAGGTGTATGCATTTTTGTTTGAATGCTTGGACAACAACAAAACTTTATCTCTCTCAGTGGATTCGTTGTATAATCCTAGAGCGTCACTACACTCAGTTTTGCACCAAGTCTTTCATTAGCTCCTAGTATTTCATGCCTTTTCTTAATGTCTTTTCACAAGTCTTCTTAGGTCTTCCTCTACCCCTTTTTGCCCTAAGCCTCAATCTCATAATTGCATTTTCTAATTGGAGTATCTGTAGGTTTTCCTTTCACATGTCCAAACCACCTTAACTAATTTTCTTTCATATTATCTTCAATTACGACTACCCCTACTTTACCTCGGATATCCTTGTTCTTAATCCTATCATTTCTTGTGTGCCCACACATCCAACGATGCATTCTCATCTCCGCTACACTCATTTTTTGCACGTGTTGATGCTTAACCGCCCAACATTCCATACCAGAAAGCATTGTTCGCCTTATTATCATCCTATAAAATTTTCCTTGAGCTTGACATACGACGGTCGCACAACACATCTGATATCCTCTTCCACTGCATACATCCAACTTGTATTCTATGGTTAAGATCATCATCCAGTTCTCTGTTCTTTTGCATAATAGATCAAAGATAATGAAAACGTTCACTCTTTGGTACTTCCTGATCTCCAATCCCTACTATATCTTATTTGGATCTTTATTCTCACTTAACTTCACTCCATATACTCTGTTTTTGACATGCTCAGGCGAATATCTCTAAATTCCAACATTTCCCACCAAAGGTTAAGCTTCGCATGTACTCCCCATCCCCATGTTTCATCTATATGCACTATATCATCTGTGAAAAGCATACACCAAGGGATATCATATTGAATATGTCTAGTTAACTCATCCATTACCAATGCAAAATGGTAAAGACTTAAAGCTGAACCGTGGTGTAACCCTATGATTATGGGAAAATTTTCATTTTGTCCTTCATAAGTTCTTATTGCAGTCCTTACTCCATCATAATATCATTTATTGCTTGGATATATGCTACTCGTACCCCTTTCTTCTCTAGAATCCTCCAAAGAATTTCTCTTGGGACCTTATCATACGACTTTTTTCAAATCTATAAAGACCAAATCCTTTTTCATAGCTCTATATCGTTCCATTGATCTCCATCAAAGATAGATTGCCTCTATAGTCGAGTGCCCCGACATGAATCTGAATTGATTGTTTGGGACTCATGTCTCTTGCCTCAGTTTATAGTCACTCTCTCCCAAAGCTTCATTGTATGACTCATCAACTTAATATCTTTATAGTACGTGTAATTTTATATATCGCCATTATCTTGTAAATAGGCAACAAAGTGCTTTTTGCCACTTATATGACATTTTTCCCTTTCAAAATCTTATTAAAAAAGTTTGTGAGTCATGCTATACCTGTCTCTCCCGAGACCTTTCACACTTCAATCGATATACCATTGGGACCCACTACATTTATATGCTTCTTCTTTCTTAAAGCTACAACCACTTCCTCTTTCTACACTCTTCCAAGATACTCAACTCACCCAAGAAGTACTCATTGCATTGAAAAGATTATGAAAATAAGCTCTTTATTTGTTTTTAATTGCTTTCTCCACAGCTAAAACATTTCCATTCTCATTCTTGATGCACCTTACTCGGTTTAAGTCTCTTGTGTTCCTTTCCCTTACTCTAGCTAGTTTATAGATGTCCAACTCTTATTTTTTGGTATCTAATCCCTTATACATATCATCTAAAGCCACCAGCTTCGCTTCTCTCACGACTTTCTTTGCCTCCTTTTTCGCTATTTTATACCTCACATTTTCATCTGTTTTATCCTTGTATAAAGTTTTACAACATTCCTTCTTAGCCCTTACCTTTTCATGTACCTTCTTCTTCCTCCATCAAGATTCCTTTCAATGTGGAGCAAAACCCTTTTGACTCTCTTAATACCTCTTTTGCAACTTTTCGGATATACCTAGCCATGGAATCCCACATTTGGCTAGCATTCCCCTCTGTATCACACACATATTGGGTGAGTATTTTCTCTTTGAAAGTGACTTGTTTTTCTCCCTTTAGATTCCCTCATCCAGTTCTTTGACACTTCAAGGTCTTGTTCTTTCTTTTATCTCTTTTGATACATACATCCATCACCAATATGTGATGTTGGTTAGTCAGGCTTTCTCCCTATATAACTTTGCAATCCTTACAAGTTATACAATCCCTCTTTCTCATTACAAATAAATTTATTTGTGTTTTTTCTGACCCACATTTGTAGCTGATCACATGCTTCTCACTTCTTAAAGAAGATATTGGCTATAAAGAGATCGTATGCCATTGCAAAATCGAAAATGGTTTCATCCTCCTCGTTTCTCTTCCTACAACCATGGCCACCATGCAAACCTCTATGGTTGCCTGTGTCCTTGCCCAAATGTCCATTTAAATCTCCTCCTATGAGTAACTTCTTCATCTGAGATACTCCTTGAACCAATTCTCCAAGATTTTCCCAAAATTTCTCCTTCAGATTCCTATCTAACCCTACTTGAGGTGCATACGCACTAATCACAATGGTGAGTTTGTACTATCACAAACTTTATTGCTATAATTCTATCATCAACCTTCTTGACATCTACAACATCTTTTGTCAAAGTATTATCCATGATGATGCCAACACAGTTTCTCAATTTATTTGTGCTCGAATACCAAAGCTTAAAACCTGAGTTTTCAATCCTCCTTAAGACCAACCCACTTAGTTCCTTGGAGACACATAATACTTATCATTTTACTCAATATAACTTGCACTATTCTACATTCCTAAACACAATATACTCTCTTGAACCCTACCTTCATGTCATACCTTCTTTGACATCACTTGTGCCAAAAGGTCAAAATTCTTCTTCTACGTGTCCCAAGTAAAGTTGCTATAAACAGATACTTCCAAACAACTTTGAGTAGAATCATTCAAAAAGAAGTTTTTACCGCACCCTTGCTCATTTAACATTGCATCCAACTAGCGACGAAGATACAACCCTTGCTCACTTATCAATGTGCCTAGGCCACAACTGCGTCACTTCCCGATGATGAGCTAGCTTTAACGTAATTTCGTTTATGATTTATTATCACAGGGATGATAGGTGAAAATAGTATGTTGACTGTTTACTACCTGACACCTTCCCCCTCCTCTTTATCCGGGTTTGAGACCGGCAACGTAAGATAAACTTACACAGGGAGAGTTAACAAATTGCGCTTTGAGAGTACTTTGAGTGCTTTGACAAGGAGTAATAAATTGTGTCATGGTGTACATTGGGTGCTTTGACAAGGAATACTTTGAATAAATCTTGAGCGATGTGACAAGTACCACCAAATTGTGACATGGAGTACTTTTAGTGCTTTGACGAGAAATAATAAACTAAGCCTCATTTGGTCTTTAAGATTAATTTATAAATCTTCACGGTATATTGAAGGTAAATGAATGTGACCAATTTATTAAAGAATTAGACGAGGATTGGACATGTGGAATGAACAAGTTTACTCCGCTTGCACTTGAGCTTGAAGCCTTTTTTTAATCCTAAAGATTCTGAAAGTAAAGCCTTAGAAACCCTACATTATTTTATAATCTCTTGAGCCATAATTATATTATCAGCAATATAGCGGCCAGACACAAAGCTCGCCTGTGTAGGAGACAAGAATTTAGTCAGCAGGGGTCTGAGGACTCATAGAACACCTTATTAATCTTAATTCAATTGTCCTTTCAAGCAAGAGTCGGCTTAGATCAATGAATGAAAAGGAAGAGAGTGAATACGGCACAGGAAATGAGGCCATCTAGGTTTGTCTATTCTAATCCTGCCATTTTGAAGGGTATGCGAATGGATAAGTTCACTTAATGCATAATATATCCTTTATCTTCACGTCGAACACAATTTGTTAATTTTTCACTTCAATATACGTTGAGTTCGGTGAGTTTACCATCCCAATCCAATCCTCTAAGCCAAACGAAGCCTTATATCCAAAATGTTAGTACAGTATTTTTTTGTTTTCCTTTTGGTTTTGTTTGTCCTTAAAATCTTCTTAGCCTTTGTGTGTTCTAAACTCTCCACTGAATTTGTAATTCACGTAATCGATGCATCTTTATTGTCTATATCGCCCACAATGTGGCCTAAAATCTGGAACTCATCATGTAGCCTGGTCAGGATCAAGCTCTCTATAATTTACTCATCCATCAGACTATTAGATGCACAATTGTTCAGTTAAAGAAAAGAAAGAATGCGCGTTGCAGCCAAATGGCTTTAATTTTTTTATGTGAAGCTTCTTGTCTGTTGATATATGTGTGTTTATGTGTGTGTTCACAATGACGACTGCCACTAGCAACATGTTACATATGCATTGGTTAATTCATGCCAAAATACATGATATGTATTAGGTTAATTCATGCCCAAAATACATGACTATCTGGAAGAACACTACATGTCGTTGACACATTAGAAGCAAAACACTTTAACCTGTTTTAAACTTGACTACCATTTTGTAGAAACTGCAGCACATAGAAAAGCGACGTAGTTGAAAACCGATGAGCTCCCATGGAATCAAACTAGAAACTGCAGAATATGAACTCCAACAACAGTGTTAGTATAAACAATAATTACCAGTTGCCACTAAATCTGGTCCTAGGATTTTATAAATAGCGGAAGTATTCCGTAGATATATTGTTCAATCCTACAGAAGGTACTTCTCCTAGCAACAACCCTTGCACCGCAACAGTACAAAGTGAGGACACATTCCTGTTCCCAGTGCAGATTATTAACTTAACTGACATTGACGAACCATAAGGTCTTGTAGAACATAGTTCAGAAACTAAGGCAAGCTCTTGTATATCTGTAAAATATGCAGTTCAATTTAATCTTGTCTGCATGTACGAGTAATTCTTGATATGCAAATGACTGTAACGTGCTAGTCTGAAATTATATAGCAGCACGCTTACAAGAAATGAGAATGAAGCGTTGTTTAAAATTTGCTAAAACTAGTTCTCGTGTTACATCTTCAGTCGCCATGAAATGACTTGTGTCGTCAACTGTCCCAACTATAGAATTAACTAGATTTAGAGTTTAGAGGTCTGAAAAACAAGTTAGGAAAAGATGCAGAAACTTATCTCTAGTTCCCTGCTTCAACAATGTCTGGTAGCAGATCTGAAAACCACATCTTCATCAGTAACAGCAGCTTAAAAGAAAAAAGAAGCTTGCATGGAAGTCTATTAAAAAGTCATAGTCTAAAATGTTACCATGATATGTCAATTTTCTTTCGTTCCATATCCATATACAGATTCTTGAAATCATATTCCAAATTCTTTTTGTGCTAAGCTCACAAAAAGCGAAGAGTATATCTGATATAAATGTATCTTCTTACCAGCATGAAATCAGCAATTGAACGATACAACAAAGCAAAAGAGGAGCACCGTCAATTTGGGAATCCAGCTTCTGAGATTAAGGTATCCATCAGTTCCTATCCTGCAAGCTTTTCCTTGAGAATATACTTCAAAAAAATTTAACATGTGAGTTTCTTTTAACATACGGCTCTGAAATAACAAACAGATCATTCATCAAATCGTACAGCAAGATATGTATGTACTCACACATATCTTTTATAATAAATCTAATGACTAAATTTTAAAAATATGTGAGAATAAAGTAGAAATTAAACTCTATACAGTAAGAAATCCCAAAACTTTACAAAGAAAAGGGTGTTAGGAGAAACTAGAAAGTTAAGACTGCTGTTTGATTCATCATAACAGAACATACGCAGAACGCATTAGATTGTCATTGCTAAGTAATTTAATGAAGTACAGCAGCCACCCCAATGATTTGTAGGACAGCCGAAGGGTACCGGCAATGATGGTTGCTCACTGACGGCTGCTTTTCAGGAAAACCCATTTAAAAATGACTCGCACCTGTAACTTATACTAGACTTCTCTACAATCGAAAAAAACACAAATGAAAGCAAACAACGATACAACTATGCTCCATATACAACCTGAATTTGTGGATGTATGTTTGGAAGATAGAAGTTGGAACAAATACTCTGAAATAAAGTCTTCATATAATGGTTCAAGTGATCCCATTGGTGGCATTGAATGCATCAATTTAGTAAGTTTCGCCATCAACATAATTCTTGTCAAATCTTCATATCAGCTCTCCAACCTAGGGATACATACATCTGCTTGTAAATTGTATATGCGGTTGAAAGAGATTTGCACCCTCACCCATCCTAAGAAATTATAAACGCTCTAAAAACATATGGTTGGCATACCTAATTTTTATTTTATGGAAAACAAATATTTTCGCAGCAAAGACAAAGAAACTACAAGACAGGGGACAAGGTGTTTGCTGAATTACACCGATCTAAAGAACAACAAAATAGAAACCAATGAGAACCAAAGAAGAGAAACGACTAATTTATAAAAGCTTTCCAATCAGAATAGATAGCATGAGAGGACCAATCCTTACAATCCGAGGAAACTGAAGCCTACCAAGATGTCCAGAGTCGACTAGTTAAAGTATTGGTAACACCATTCCTTTTATGTGTTAGGACACTACAGAAGGCTTCGTTGCATATTATTCCTTGATATATAACAGCATATCATCCAAAATGTCAATCTCCCAGAAGTAAATTTCCAATCAGAAGTCCCGAACACAATAAAAGTGCTGCAATGCATTGAATACTAGATTAATAACATGGTAAAAAAGATGAGAAAACGGAAATGTAAATTGATTGGGAGCCAGATGAGTATAAACACTGTTTCTGGATCCTTTGAAACAAATATCCAGATTCTACTATTTTCCTATCACGAGAAATGACATACAGGGAGCATAAGAAATAACATACAGGGAGCATACAGCTTCAAGCTACTTCTTCCAAATTGTTGATCCGATTTCACCTTCTTCATTTGCGTAAGAAGTTGTGATTAAGGGTTGGTCACAGAAGGACAACTGTGATAACAGAGGACTTCCTTGCATAACTAGTTGCCAATTCAATACGCATGACTGTTTCGTGAGCCCATAAGTCAAAATCATGGATTTGAAGAACTCCAATGACATGGGTCTTCGTCTATAGATAGAGATCAATCAAGAACAGGAATGTTTTTCTTCACTCTTTTCAAAAAAAGCATTTGAGGTGGCTGGAAGACTATGAACGAAACAGAATGCCAAAATCAATTCAGATTTCAATGTTGTTTCATCAGCCAAAGCCGTGATGCTCTTCATTTGCAATTGCAGAGGAAAATGGGCAGTCAAGAAACCAACTGATGCATCACAAGGACGGAGTTCCAACAAGTACACAGCTTTCGAAATAATTCCATTAAAAGATAGTTCGTTCTTCTTGACAGATCATAGATAGGTCGTTCTTCTTGACAGATCATAGCAACAAAGTTGCAATTTGGTGGAAGCTCAGGCATTAATTCCAAACAGAATCTTGGAACCAATGAGCAAAGACTGAATAGCTAACCTCCCAAGTTCAGTAACAATGGGGCATGAGGTTATTGCTATGACAAAGCACCAAATACGTCTGCTCCCATATGTGTGAAGTTGCTCAGTATTAAGAAATCCGTTTGAGGTGTTTCAATTCAAGAATGGAGATCTGAATGAGAGTCCAAATGCAATTATTGGTAAGGCTCATCCCAGAGGCAGTAATAACCTCACTCTGAGAATTTTTCCAGTTCCACTTTTCTTCCCTACAAAAATTTCTCTTTAAATCAGTGCACATAGGGTTAGTGAAATCAATGAAATAAATTAAGGCAAAAAACATTAAGGTCGTGCTGGCTCCCTTTTTTTCCTTGATCATAGAAATCGAGTTCGACATCCATATAAAGGCATTGTATGTGCATGCATGTGCCAAAATTCTAATCCATCAGTAACTCATATTCCTGGATTGTTCTTGTCAACAGAAACATCCGTGAAATAAAAACTTTCATTCTACTAATTATAAAAACTACGTTGTTATTAAAACTCAGTTCAAGAACAAATCAATCATTTCTATGCATAGCACATATGAGAGAAATTTCGATGCAAACTACCCACAAATAAGCCATCCATATAACCAAAATAAGCTTTGTTAGAGTCTACAAATCAGACGCCTTTTTCTCTCATCTAAAAGTACACTGTAACTCAATGAACAATGCAACACATGATGGAACATTGAAATTCAACCTTTTTCGTAAAAAATTGTGCCATAAGCCCAAAACAACTGGAATGAAGAAAAAGATAGTCCATTTCTCGGTAAAAAAAGGTTTGCTAATACTGTACATACTGTCAAATCTGAATATTGAATAACGCTGCAAAACTTTGATAAAAGTTTGATGTTTTTATTTTTATAGATGAAACCCCCTCAAAATGTCTTCAATATGAACTCCAACCTCAAGTTTAAGTCTTGGCTATAGCCTCTCTGCCTTGTATCTACAAATGGGTACAACTCTTAAAACATTACGTTCATGATGTACACTTAAATGTTGAGGGAAGTCCGCATCATAAACATTCATAACAATCCACCATGGAAACCTTTCCTTAGGTGGAAAACCATCACCAAGCTCTCTTTTGCAAAATTTTAGTTCATCTTTTCTTTCTACCAATTCCTTGAGCTTGGCATTTGGCTCATCAGACTGTCTCCTTTACTGAATCGGCCAAGTTTCCTCCTTTGCATTAATGTTCCCAACTCGCCAAATTGGCTCCTAGTTTTGTATTAGAATAGGCACCACAATGACTAAGGCCATCAGTATATGCTAGAACTCTGGAGGTCTGCTCAAACTAATTTTATGTGAAAGGAATGATTGACTTTGGTTCAAACCTATACTACAGTTTATTCTTCCCTTCTACCAAACATTACCACAAAGTATTTCTTCAACTTTTTGGTCACTGTTGCAACCCTAAAGAAACCACAGCCTTACCTTCCGAGGAAGACCCTTACCAAATGCAGCACCTTGGCTCTCTCGTCTCTCCACTATCCCACCCAACTCAAAGCATACCCACTAAATACCTAAGACCTCATAAATATTACTCCAACACCCAAGGAAAAAATATTTAAGGTGTGAAAGTCCACATGCCTTCATTTCTCAATATCATTGTCCGGCGCCACTTAATACATGTAAACATTACAATGGGTCTTTATCTCTATATCATGCAAAGAGTGAAAAGAAAAAGGGGAAAAAGAAAATAAAACTGACTCAGATAATAAAAGAAAAATGTTATAAGTCAATGGATGGACACAATTATCCATCCAATAGTCTCGTACAAGAAAAATGATAGTGCAAATCTGAAATGGTTACTTCACCTAACTGCACAATATAAGATCCAAATAGGAGTTACATTTTAAGTAGCTTTAGCTATTTGTTGCATTCAAAAGATGTTATGAGTAAGGAGATTATCATAGGTTAATATAATCTCATACTTTTCCTTCACGTTTAAATGTTATACAAATGAGAGTATTGCTCTCACGTATAGTGCTTTAATTGTATTGAAATTTCCAGTTTCCACTTTAAATTTGTTCATTCTATAGTTATGTCTAAAGATGGTACTTTTTTACTTCCTAGTTATGGCAAAGGGAAGCAGCAATGTTGAGGCAACAACTTCAAAACTTGCAAGAAAACCATAGGTATAATGATTTTCCTTTCTATCATGAATACTTTGTAGCATATCATAACCAAGAAACACTATCATTAGCAAAAGACGATGAGAAATAAAAGTTAAAATTTCACAATACAATTGGGGTATTTCGTTTCATTTAGACTAGACTACAAGGCCTTGCCCCTTACACACGAGAAGTTAACACGCAAGTGTCTAAACACCATTTTCACCAAAAAAAATACATTTTACTAAAGTTGTATAAAAAGAGAATTCAATACTTGTAAAGGCAGCACAATTGGCACTCGTGCACTCCAACTTTGTGTGTACAGGAAACACGAAAATTTACAGATGTCCATTTTGAGGTTTAAAGTGCATAGTAGCATTATCCATTCATAAAGGTGAACTATCTTACTACGTCTATCACCAATTGCATATATAAAATTAAGACATTAACGTTCACAGAGGCTTCAGAAGGTGCTATACCAGGAAATTACTTGCTGTTTGAATAATTCAAGGAGCCTGAGTGCACTTTAATCAAAATCATAAGGCAAAATTTTCCTATATAAAGATTTCTTTGTTTTGCATCTTCTGGGAGAAGCTTGAACTTTAGCTTCACCAGAAACTCTTTTCAATTTCAACTAAAATTCAACAGAAGAAAAACATATTAGCAGATAATGCACTTCTATGGTGCAAGAGTGTGGTTTAGTGGTCTGAAGAGCTACACCAAACAGAGACTCAGGGTAGCTGGGTCAAATTGGTAATGAAGAACATGAATGTATGAGAAACAAACTGACTCAATGGAAGCCCTACTGAAGGTTTCAAATTCTTCGACAATATGAGTACAGCCTGATTTTCTTAATAAAACTGTAACGGTGCCTTACTGACTTTATTTTAAACAAAGTCTTCATTTCTTACAAACACCAAAGAATAAACAGCAGCTAGGGTTTGTACTCTTGCCTAAGTGATCTTAGGTTCGAATTGTAGTTTTGGATTCTTTTGCTATTTAAGTCTTATTTAAGAAAACATGCAGAAAGTAAAAGTGCTAGGGTGAGGGCATGAACCTACTCCCTACAGGAAAACAAGAAAAATATCTAAACCCTGGTGCTTTGTCCATAATTTGTTATTCTACTGCAAGCTGTGATATATATTATACAAGTATATGAGAAAAATAAAATCATGGGCCCTCCAAGACCAGGGCCTGTGCAGTGGCACTGCTTGGACACCCTCAGGCCCGGCCCTGCACATGATTTGTAGAACAAACAATTATAGAAGCTATTTTGTTACTTAAGGGACTAGTGAAAGAGCTCAAAGAGAAAAAGAATGATCTTATGTCGGTATAGATATAGAATATATGACAAGACTTGTAAAGGAGAAAATTCTTGGTCAAGTTCTTAATTTCTAATGGTTTTTATAAAGGTTTGGATCTAGCTCTCAACCTTTCCTGCAGTGGTTAATAAAAATTTTTACAGGAACTGTTCACATGGTGTACTTTGATATGCACACTTCTCATGCTAATTAAATTAAAACATTAAACAGCAATGGGTGAACAAGTTGATTGCTAGCTAAAACAAGCAACTATGGAAGCTACTTTTTAAAACTATGTCTAGTTGTTTATATAGGGTGCAGAATGATAAAAGAAAATAAAAAGATTACAAAACAAAAATTTATAATAACTATCAGTGTTTATTTTGATTATTGAAGTTTTTTTTCAGTTTTTCTTTAGCCAATTGTTGTTAAGTTTATGATATTGAAGGACATCTTATGCTGCATGCTTGCTTATGCTAAATCGAAAACTGTTGGTGAAATAAATTTTTGCCTTCCCAAATTATTTTTGTATGACATATATTTCTGCTATTCCAATTGTATCACAACCCAGTGCTTTCCTTGAAATACAAAATCATTTCCCGCATAAAGCCAGAGATATTGCATATACAATTTTTAGCTTTATATATAATGTCAAAAATAAATTAAAAGATCCTAAAAATGTTCATAATGCTAATTCCAACTTAATAAAGCACTCTAGTGAAGTCTTTTCTTATCGGTGAATGCACTGCATTGAACCGATTGGCATGTTCCATGATGTTATACTAGATGTTATACAATGAGGGCGTGACAACTCTTCATAACAAGTTATTGAATTTTCCCTAAGGAGTGACATTGTTTATACTCGTACAAGATAGAGGACAATACAGTGCTTAAATAATGGGATTAGGTATAGGTGAAAATGAAGACATAATCTAGGATAAAGATGTTTGGCATCAAACAGAATTGCTATGCATCTCATAAATCCGCCTCACTACTGGGTTTAAGATGTCCAAAGTCCATTTTAGGGCCTAAACAATGCTTCTCTCTCAATGACTACAGGCAAATGATGGGAGAAGAGCTTTCTGGTCTGAGTGTGAAAGATTTACAGAATCTGGAGAACCAATTGGAAACAAGTATTCAGGCTGTCCGAATGAAAAAGGTACGAACAGTCACTCAATTTCTGAAAATCATCTATTTACATAATGTTTCCCATAGGGGTCTAAATCACAATTGTTACTTTTGTAGGACCAACTTTTAATGGATGAAATAGAAGAACTAAACCGAAAGGTTAAAACCTTGCAAAACTTTGGTACCACTTTTCAGCCTTTTCCTCTTTATTACTCAAGTAGCTAATTTAAAGTCTGTGCAGGGGAACGTCATTCACCAAGAAAATGTCCATCTGTTTAAGAAGGTAAACCTACTTCGTGAAGAAAATGTGGAGTTATCTAAGAAGGTACTGGTTTTGATAGCGTAATAAACTTTAACTATGCACGAAAGAGTAATAAACTACAATCCAACCTACAACAAATTGCAAAAATTTTCACAACGCCTCAACAGAAAAGTTTCACATCCCAGGTTTATGGAACAATGGATGTAAATGAAGCCAACCAAAGTCCCATTCTGACAAATGGTCAAGGTATCGAAGAGGACTCACATGGACCTGTCCGTCTCCAGCTTAGCCAGCCACAGCAGCAAAACTACGAGCCAGCAGCAAGGGCTACAAATCTGGGGTATACCTCCTTCCTAAAACTATAGTGTCTATTATGATAATCACTTGTAAGTTTTCATTTTTTGATCAAACTATATCCGTGACGACTACGGCAGACTACAACTACGCTAGCAAAGAAGATGCATCAGACTAGGATGATGTTACTTGATTTCTCAAGAACAAGGCTGTTGGATAAAAGTTATGTTCTATCACACTAATGTCGTAAAAGAGCTGCAAAACAATCAGCAAAAGGACCTTTATTTGAAAACAATGTTTTGATGTGTGTGTGACAATCAAAGAAACCATCTACATATGTAAAGATGAGATTCATATATAATAAAGAATAATTGACTTGCACTTCAGGTGCACCGCAGCGTTTAGAAATCTCTAAGTCTCTATGTATCTGTGGAACAAACATGCTCTGAAACATATTGCAATGTTTATATGCATGTCGTCAATTTTTGTACAACAAAACATGTGAACAAAAGCAATTGCTTTGACAAAAGATGAAAATATAAAGAGAAAGAAGCAAAACTTTTCAACTTACTGCATTCAAGTTTGGTCCATTGAAGTATTGTATTTCACAAAATGGTGTAAGAGGTGTTTACATTCATGTTCACGCAGTTTGATATTTCACTGATAGCATCTGTAATGATTTGACGTCCTGACTGCAATACAATGTTCACCATGGAAGTAATAGGTAGTTAAGCACAGTAAGCGAAATCAAGCCATTGATAGTTTTGTTTATGGTAAACCATATATAAATTCAATGAAACAACAATTACATGTAAGTATGACAATACGCAGAATTCTCTGATATAATAATAAATCCACCTCTAGGACACTATAATAAAATAAATTCAAAATTTAAGTTATCAGCGGGGTAAAAAAATACATGCATGGTCGAATCAAGGTAAAACTCTTTAATGCTGGTTATGAATCTTATGATCAAATGTAGATCTTGGACCAACTTTGGTTGAAACAAACATAAAACATGTGAATACAATGTTTCATTTATCAGATACAAGTGCAATTCAGAGCAATCCACAAATAATAAGGCTCCGGGACTATTAAACAGTAAATCTTGTATCAAGTTAGCACTAGTAGACTATGCATGCTTAGCTTCGAGTCCCATGCCACTCTATGGTATTTGTTAAACAACATAATTCTAATTAAGATTACCATAACCAGATCCCTTGTTTCCAAGTTCACAGATTGATGCACCAAATACACAAACAACAGAAATGAATAAAGTTCCAAGAGATCTATGGACTGCGATGCATATCCCATATTGGAATTCTAAAAGATGAGAGGTTTCCTTTTCGACAGGGAAGCTCACATAATCATGCCACATTGAGATTCTTTTGGAAAACAGGGACAAATAATTATTCATGAGATTAGATACATCAGCAACTAAGGCCTACGTAACATAGCTTGCGAGGAAAGGGTAAGAAACATGTTCAAATAAAAATCTGGGTCTTCAAATAAAATTATGAATCTCCAAATCTTGTCAGACCAATGGTTTATAAAGAGAAGGAAAAAGTATGATAGATGTTTGAGCATTTTCAACTCAATCTTAATGGCTAATTGGCTATTTCATAATACAACAAAAGTAAATAAATAACGTATAAAACTGGAGCCAACAATATCTGGCAATATGTTTTATTTACCGTATATTTTAATGGTTATTTCAAGAGAAGCAAAAACGGACGTCTAAGAATACAACTAGTATAATTTCATGCTGCTTCCTGAAACAATATAGTACTTTAAAGAACAAAAGACATACTACGATTAAACATACATTAGCCGGAAAAAGTCAATGCATTCAACAAAATTGAAGCATATGTTGTATTTGGCAAGAGTCAATAGGACTTTGAAAGATAAGGGCCCGTCCGGTAACATTTTGTAAAATGACTTTTGAAGAACTGTTAGAATTTTGCATTTTTACGATTTGAAAATGTGTGGTAGTTTAATCTGATAATGAAAACATTGAAAACAGGTATGGTACCAATATCTATAATGTCACCAAAAAACATACACACACACACCATTGTATTAAAAGGCGAAGGCGTAGGCGAGGCGTTCCATGGATAGCCTCGCCTAGGCGTGAGGCATGAAGCGTGAGGCGTGAGGCAAAGCCTCATGGTACCTAAAATTTTAATATATATTTCATATATAATTATATTTTATAGATATAATACTTGGTAAAACAAATATAATTATAACTAAATCAAAGATAATATCATCTTCTTCATTACTAAGTCTAGTTGTACTTAGAAACTATGTCATAAAGTCTTAAAATGTTGTAATTATTTATTTTATTGTAAGTAATTATAGAGAACTTTAAGAGAAATAAGGGTGAGCGACCACAATTATAGGGAATTTCAAGGAAAATAAAGGTTGAATGTCACAGTTATATGGAAATTCAAAAGGAAATAAAGGTTGAGTGGACAAACTATAGGGAATTTAAATGAAATAAAGGCTGAGTGGAGAAATTATAGAGAATTTAAAAGGAAATAAAGGCTTAGTGGGGCAATTATTATAGCAAATTTAAAGGAAAATAAAGGAAGAGTTAGAGTTGGAGTTAGACTTCGCCATTTGGAGAGTGAAACTCTCTCCTTCTTCTTCGTTTAAATTAGAACAGTCTCCTGCATTTTAGAAACAGACATGAATTTTGAAGGGAAAAAACACCCAAGTCAGCCGCCTAGGCATGACTCGACGCCGCCCTACGCCCACCCCCACAAAACAGAGGCGAAAATCCGGCCGCCCAACCTTCAAGGCTGCCTAGGCGCGCGTCGAGGCAAGTTTTTTAAAACACTGACACACACATTCATGTTTGGTTGTAATGGTGGCTGTGGTTGAGATGAGAGTGGTGTTCGTAGCAATGGTGGTTGCAGTGGTGGTAGTAGTGAGGGTAATGGGGTGGGTGGTGGTGACCATGGTGAGGGTAATGATAGTGATGATGGCAATGGTTGTGGGAGGTGATGGTGGTGGTGTTGAGCGTGATGGTGGAGGAGGATATGGTGGTAGCGGCAATGGTGATGGGAGGTTGTGGTGTCAAAGATAATGGCGATAATGGTGAGACGATGATGAATGTTGTGGTGGTGGTAATGGCAACGGCGACTATAATGGTGGTATACATGATTTTATTTTTTATTTACAATTCCAACTATATTTTATAATGTATTTTTCAGGATTATTCACATACCTATTTTTACCTTTTACGCCCCCTTGTTAATTTTTTGTCATTGATCTTCTTTAATTCATTTGATACGATGGCCAGAAATTGACAGGAGTGTATGAGAAGTAAAAATAAGTGTGTGGATAACACCCTATTTTTTATTTTCTGTTATTATGAAAACTATTTTTTTTTTAACAGAGGAAATATCAATTATAGTTCTACAAACAGTGAGAATATTGTTGTTTAGGAAAGAATCAAAGTTTCCTTGTACAATTAGATTAGGAATTTTAGAAGGAAAGCGTACTTTCCTATTCCATATAGAATAGGAAACTTAATCAGAAAATAGGCATGTAAACCAAAATAGGGTGTGGTAAGGCTAGGAAAAAGAGAGAAAAGCCAGAGATAGCAGAGGGAGATAAAGGGTGATTAATTCTAGGGTTTTGCAAAAGTACTATAACTCTGACCTAGGCAAAAATTTTGCTAAATCAGTATAAATCTTGTGTGTTTCTAATTATTCTCTAATTTGCTAAGTTTAATCTATTGCCGGGTACATCAATAAAAAAAAATATCCAAACTGAGTCACAGACTCACAATTACACCAATTGGTGTCGAGAGATTGGTTCAAGGTGTTATACGATGTCAAAAGGCAAGGCGACCACGAACCTAAGGCCTGCACTAAAACCTTTTGATGGCAAGGATGATTTCACGGACTGGCAAAAGACAATGAAGAATGTATTGATATAGTAGGAATTGGATGATGCATTCATTGGTGAGAGGCCCACGACCATCACAACACAGGCATAGACCAAGATTCTTAAGAAGGCAAGAGCTCCATTAAGATCCATCGCACAAGATCAGTCAGGTCCCAGATCATAGAAAAGATGATTGTTAGGGAAGCATAGGACAAGTTGGAGAACGTTTATATGGGCAAAACCATGTCCGACAAACTATTTCTCAAAGATGAGCTATTTAAGCTTTGATTGGAAGGAGGTGATATTGACTTATGTAGGTTCCAAAATTGCATAGCCAATCTTTAAAAGGTCGAAGAAACTTGCAAAGATGATGATATGGCTATCATCTAGTTGAGGTCTCTACCTTCGTCTCTCAAGCACTTTCGAACAACACTAATATTTGGAAAGGAGTCCCTGAAGCTTGAAGACAAGCCCTTAGTCATACGCTAAACTAGATGATATAACTTAAAGCTCTCAATGCCTTTATGTCAAAGTCAAGGAGAAAGGGCGGGAAAAGACAAAGAAAGAGAAAGCAACAAAAAGGGTATGTCAAAATCCAAGAAGAAAAAGGAAAAGAAGGAAGGTTGCTACGAATGTGGTTATGCCGATCAATGGAAAACGAACGGCAAAATTTGGAAAGAGAAGAAAATCAAGATGGAAAGAAGCTCAAGTTCAGCTAGTACAGTTACCAAGGAAGTGAGAGATGGGGAGCTTCTTTCAGTAACATCAGGCTCTGAAGCTTTCACAAGTTGAATCTTGGATATCGGATGCACATTCCATTTGTGTGCAGTAAGAGAATGGCTTGATACCTAAGAGAATGGCTTGATACCTACAAGGAGGTCAACAGCTGAGAAGTTTTAATGGGAACGATTCACCATGTCCTATAAAGGGAATCGGCCTGCTAGAATCAAGATGTTTGATGGTGTGCAGGCTTTGGGGAATGTTAGATATATCACTAGACTGAAAAGAAAAAAAAATTGATTTCCTTGAGTACTTTAGACAAGGCTGGTTATGGGTACCGTTATGAAGCAAGAAGACTCAAGGTGAGTAAAGGATGTTTTGGCTTTTAATTAATTTTAAAATTCATAGGGAATCTAATTCTTTGTTAACCTCGGCATGGATGACTTCCTACTAAATATTCATATTTTATAACCCTAATTTGAATAGAAAGATTATGGCTCAAAGTTGCCAATTGATAGAGAAGCTTGTCGCATCCCAAGCCCAATTTGGATCATCGGTGGTAATACAAGGTAGCATTATAAAATGTTGTACAATCTAATTGGGACAATGACAGCTGGAGAAGCAGTTGTTTCCACAAAGCAGAGTACAGAAGACAAGTTTGGACTCTAACATACAGGCTAGGGTGCATAAGTCAGAATGGGTTGCAAGAATTGCACAAAAGTCTTGCTAGAAGGCGTGTCACATCGCAAGCTAGACTTTTGTAAATTCTGCATTATCGAAAGGCAAACGAAGGCTCATTCGCAAGTAGCAGTGCAAATAATTGAAGCAAGGAGCAACTCAACCATATTCACTCAAATGTTTGAAGCCCTACACCACCTAAATTCAAAGGTAGAGCCAATATTTGGTTACTTTCATCTTTGGGTTTATTTCATGAAGCAAAAATCCGAGGTTTTTGCAAAGTTCAACGCATGGAAGACAAAAATCGAGAATCAAACTGGAAGAAAGATCAAGTATCTCAGTATCTCAGAATTGACAACATAGGTGAGCTTACAAGCAAGGAGTTTGCCGATTACTGTAAGCAGGAAGGCATCACAAGGTACTTCACAGTAAAAAAAAAAAAAAAAAAATTCCAACAAAATGGAGTTCTTGAGGGGATGAACAAAACTCTCATGGAAAGAGAGAAGTATGCGATTTCATACAGGATTACCTGATCCTTTTTTGGCAAAGTGCAAAAGAGGTGTGGTCTAAGAAGCCAGTTAACAGAGTGTAGAAAAGGTGTGGCCTGAGATTGTTAGGATTTTGGCTCATCAAAGTTAGTGTCCTATTTTGTTTAGGATTGTATTGGGGAACGTAAGGGTGCATCTGTTCTTCTCCTAAAGAGACTAGGAAAGAATCAAAGTTTCCTTGTACAATTAGATAAGAAATCTTAGAAGTGTAATTGGAATAGGTAAGAAAGTGTATTTTCCCATTCCATATAGAATAGGAAACTTAATCAGAAAATAGGCATTTAAACCATACCCTATACATATAAATAGGGGGCGGCATGGCTAGGAAAAGGAGAGAAATGCCAGAGGCAGTCGAGAGGGATAAAGGGCAATTAGTTCTAGGGCTTTGCAAAAGTACTGTAACTCTTTTATTAATCAAATAAGTTGTTTCTCTACCTAGGAAAATCACAACTGAAAGTAGGCAATAGTCCAACCGAACTAGTATATAATCTTGTGTGTTTCTAGTTATTCTCTAATTTGCTAAGTTTAATCTATTGCCAGATGCATCAAAGAGCAAGATCCAGAAGGAGTAGGAATTATGACAATGAGGAGACTTGGGAAACGTAAATAAGACATAGAAATTCAAATATCAACTCGAACTACAACAAATTATTCATAGAGAAAAGCTTGTATTGTGATGCTCTGAATCCTACGGCAGCCATGCATGCGTTGAGGAGGTCTAAGTTACTCAAGAAAAGCAGCTTGAGCAATCACTTTTTTAGAAGGCCTTAGATCGTGGGCCATACAATTATGAGGAAAGAACCTTCTACCAAAGGTGACATAATTCATAAGCAGGTAAGCCATTGCATTAATTTACTATGCTAGGTGGCATAAACAAAGCAACTAAGAAGCCCATAATAAGGTCCTTCATAAAGCAAAGCTATGCATGTTTATATAGTCCACTGGAACGAACTCACAACTCAATGGGATAATTTTTTTTATAGCAATTAGAACTCGACTTGAAGAGTTGAGATAGCTAACAGAAGAAAGGACAAAGTTACCGGTAACTGGAAGAGGTCACTCTGCTTGCCGAGGGGGAAACACTCTTATTTTAAGTTCTTTCAAAGATTGTTCCTTCCGGACCTATTCTCTATCCCGTAGTGGAAGTGCTCCCCCCTATTCCCTTACTCTAACAAGTAAGCAAATCAGTTAGGTTCGTCCATGTATATTTGTTATGGGTATGCTTCCCATCTCAGGGAGGAAAAACAGCCCTAAACTGAGAGGGAAAGACGGCAGGGGGGCAAGGGAATACCTTGAATCCTACATCATGGATGACATGGGAAAGTATATGATACTTACGCAAAGATCTATAAATCCAAATGTCAAGTTGTGGTTAACTATTGGAAACGAAAGATCAGAGTTGATCTACACAAACACAGGCTAACCAGAACATGAATGCTCAACTAACAACTTAATAATCTTACTATTGCACAACCCAAACATTGGTTATCATTTCCCAACAAACACTTGAAGGACGAGCCAACAATGTATATTAAGCAATACTATTAAGTATTTTATAACTTATGAGAATAGTTCGAGTCTATCATGCTCAATTCCAATCAATTTTATAGGTTCATCTGCACAAACTATCAGTCTATCATGCTCCTCTACATATGGTGGTGATAACCACCCACCAGACAAAGTCTAATTGAACTTCAGAAAACTTTGTGAATCCACAATTTTTACAATGAAAACACAGCACGAGAAAAAAGAGCAAATCAAAACATAATTAAAAAATTTTCAAATCACTGATAATCATCAATCTTCTCTTATGTGAAACAGTGAAAGTTATCATATATACTCAGTAATTGTTCCTTCGCAAGATATAAATATTCTATATTTTTATTCTCCAGGACTTTTTACAAATATGAGATTGAGATCAACCACTGCTAAGTAAGCCAAAGTTTCAAATTACTCACAGTATCAACTCACAATATTCAATCACCCTAAAAAAACGCCATCATTTTGGGCGTTAGCACCATGAACAGTTAATTATTAAATCAACATTTTTATCACCACCTTAACTCTAAGGACGCTAACATAATCACTGCAGCTACAAGACTAAGTTCCACCAATGAACAAATATACTACTAAAAATCATCGTGCCACCACCTCTTGGTTATACAATCCGCCATGAAACAAGCATTAATCCAACATGCCATAATCAATGCCACAAGCATTACTACTACGACCTGCCAGGCCATACACAGGTACCTAGCTAGTTTATCTGAACGTTGAAATAACTATCTGAAAAACATTATTAAGCAAATATGAAAACCTAGATGCCTCCTCGAGGCTAAAAAGGGCTTATTTTTAGACGTATTCTATAACTTCCATTAATGGATGCACATTTAGTATGTACATTCATAATGTTCTAAAGTTATCATATAATATAGATCAAGAATGTAAGTTCATAACACATTGACAACTGTTAATAACGGATGTACATTACATAATGTATTTTAAAGCTATGATTGAACATCATACATTCCTTACGCAGACCAGAAACTTGATGAACTGCATCAGACAAACACACTTAACAATTTGGAAGATAAAACAATAACATAACCGAGCAAATCTTGAATCTTTGTCATAAAAACAAGCGGGTATACAATTGGTTCGATGGTTAACCCATAAAGCATCGGTACTAATATACTACAAGCTACTTTGGTACTTGTACAAGATTGCACACACTAACACCTACTTAGCGGCATATCATGAAATAAAGAGATATTGTGGAGCCGATATGGTCCAATAAATGAATCCTCAAATCAAATTGACAACATCCATAGCAACTACCACCTCGATTTGTCTACTATTTACCCTATAAATCATAGATAAATGCTAAGAAGACTCCTCAAAAGTGGAACTTTCCACGAACTCTCCATCACCTCATTTTTTTAATGTTGTCACAGAATTAACGTTACACCGTAAGGGGAAAGGGGACAGAGAGTTCATGAAAATAATATAAAAAACAGGTGCATCGAACAAGGTAAAATTTAAATTAAAGTTAAAGGTGATCAAGGCAGTGACACCAACCAAATTAAAAGCAATTTGTGGCGAACAGAGCACAATTTACAAGCAACAGGAAAAAGAAAAAGTGGTAATCTTGTACCTGAATTGCGAAGTGAAGGCGTCTGTCTCCAAAACAAAATAAATTTCCTCTACAATAATATTATTTTCTGAAAATTCCAAAGAACAAAAATATAAGTAGAGATCACAAACAAGTGGCGGTGAACATATATTTTTCTCAAATTTTGCAATATATAATTATATTTATAAATAAATAAATAAAAAAGAAGCTCAGCTCAATGCTCAATTCACAGTAAGATAAAAATCATCTGAAAGTGAAAGATAAGTATGACACTTACGACGTAGGGCTTACGATAAGGACTCTACTATTACGCGATTCTTTCTCAGTTTCATTTAAGCTTGTAATTTTCTGGAATTTTCTCGTAGTTTTCTTGGCAGACAAACAGACGGTTCGCGGTCGAAGGCGGACGGATATTAGTCAAGAAACAGCGAAATTACAGGTCGGAAGAGGTGGAGGAAATGGAATAAAGCAGAAGAAGGAGAATGCAGGCAGAGAAACGCGGTGATTAAGGAAGATCGCGATGTCGGTGGAATCAGGAGAAGCGGACGGAGAGAAGGGGACAAACAGAGGATGAGGAGAAGGAGATCTCTGCTTCAATGGAGGAGACAGTAGTGAGCGGATGCCTAACGAGGAAAAAGAAGGTGCGAGAGGAGGGAGTTGAGAGAGATGAAAAATATCTGCGAAAGAGACGAATTAAAAAAGAGAGGGGAAATGATGGTGGGGGAGACTCTGGAGGACAGAGAGAGCTGGTGGGGGCTATGGAGGTCTATGATGCCCCCACTCGATCTTACACGTAATCTCCTTTTCTTCCTCTCTTTCATTTGCTGATTCTCTAATAAAATATTATTAGATAGATCTAGGCTTTCGGATTCTCCCAATAGCTTTTTCACCTGAACAAGCAGATATTCCATCGCTCATCATGTGTTGTATTTCTTTTTTTTTTTTCTTTTTTTTTTTTTGGTTAAAAGAGAACTTGATGTTGTCATTTAGTATTACTGTTTAAATATATTTTTTTTATTTGTAGATTAAAGGTTTTAGGTTTAATTCTTGCTAAAGGTGAATTTGAATCACATTATTATTGTTAGCTCATTGTGAAGCTTAGCCACCACCCTTTAGTGTAGATAACATTATTTGTTCGAAAAAAAAAAATATATATATATATATATCAACTGATGGTTTCGCCATGATAGCCAACCTCCTTTTTGGAGGTTGTGAAGAAGCAATTCAGCCTCCCCTTAGCCACCATGGTGTGATTCATCAACGTCAGGAAAAGAACCATGAACGTGTCGTGTTGAATATTAACCTAGAATTCGTTATCAACCACTGGACCACCCGTGGTGGTTATCAAGTGTAGGATTTGGAGACAATTTATATAAAACGGAATTAATAGACGCGTTGTATTTTCATTATGAGAAGATAAGCGTATTGTGGATAAGGACTCTACGGGGTGCAAAAGTTAAAAGTATTTTCCGACCGATTGAGCTAGTTGGAAAACCTAACCAATTTTGTGGCATGGATCTCCAATGACAAGTCTGTCGGAGGTGAACTCCCAGCTACGTGTTTGCCATCGACGGGCAAAGAAGTATATGTAGAGATTTAAAGGCTGTCAGGCCTAGCGCTCAGTAAAGTGCTTTCCAACCACTTTTGAATGAGTAGTGTGCTCAGTATGTGGCATCCGAGAAATTGTGCAAGTAGCTTTGAGAGAATGTCACTTCCTTTCCACATGTTGAGTGAATAATGGAGGAATAGCTTATAGATCATGTCTACTGCTTGGCTCATTAAATGATAGGACAACAAGAGAATTGAGAGCTATAACTTTTCGGGGTCACTCAAGGCCTAAAGAGGTCAAGGAACCCTTATAAGCGGTCAGACCACGAGAAGAAAACTACATTATTCTATTGTTGAGTTCTCTTGTAATCCACGTCAAATGTATATTAGACCATTACAATGGTTATAGCCGATTTTTAACAATGAACAACTCAAATCTTTTTGTCTGTAGTCTAGCTCTATATCTCGAGGCCACCAAGGGTTGGTCATGCTGGTTTTTGTTCACCTCCCAATTTTAATCGTTAACAATTTACCTGTAAAAAAACAAGTGGAAGGATTTGGTAAAGCTTTATGAATCATCTATCTATTTGTTATTGTTAATTAATTAAACATTAATTTTAATTGACATTTTGCAAACATGATATTAAAATAATGATTTATAATATGACTGATTTTGATCATAAGCTCGAAGTCTATTAAAGTTTTCCACTTTAGGCAGGAAAAAGTGAGTGTGATACCACTTTATTGAACTCATATAGGAATAATACTTCTACATTTGGCTAAAATATTCAAGTGTAATATCCATTACTGTTTAAGGTTCAATGTATTTTTATCATAAATTCAATATATTAAACTCATAAATATGATACGAATTTATTGAACGCATGCTAATACAACATAAATGTTGTAGATGTCAAACTTAAACTGCTTGATTTTTATATAGATGTTACACTAACACAAGTTACTGTAGAAGGCTAGCCGACAACAAAAAACTTTGAGTAGGAAACACGTTGATCTGGAACAATCAAACCGCTTGGTCTTCCAATAAAACGAGAGTAGAAAAAGCAGGGAAGTAAGAAACAGCTGGGTTGCTGGTGTTGGGACAGCAAATAGCATCTACCAGATTACCTACGATCAGAGAGATTTTTTAATGTGATTAGTACACGATATAATACATCACGTGTTATTATACAAATAGTAAGATATATGTGTTAAAAAGTTAATAATTTAAAAAATAAAATTTCCCACCACTTCTATCAAAACATATGCTATACTATTTATGTTCCCGTCTCAATTAAAAATTTCTCTTACCATCAGACCAAACTAAGATTTAAGGACATGTCTGCGTGGGCATATCGCAACCAGACACGTACCCACTCTCTAGAATTCGGATTTAGGAACATGACCCGCGCTCTAGAACGCGCGATTGGTGTGTTCAAAATCTAACCACGGTTCTGCATTATTATATTCGTGTTTCGAAGCATCCAGAAGCGAAAATTGTAAATAATACGTATCAAAGTTGCGAACGAGAGCGGCCCCACCCACTTGTTGTGAACACGTGTCGGTCTACTATAATTTCGTCCAGTCCTATGTCTGTAATTCTCCTAATAAAATGTTGTGAAAAGAACAAAGGTATCTGAGCTGTACTGTTGGCTTATAATGTGTTTTTACTGTTCTTGTTTGTTGGTTGAATTCGAAGTACCTAAACGTTGGAAGAAAGCTGACCACATATTCAAAATTTAGGAAAAACGATCATCTCTGGATCCTCATAAAACGTTGGAAGAAAGCTGACCACATATTCAAAATTTAGGAAAAATGATCATCTCTGGATCCTCTTTATGAGGATCCTGAAGATTCATCAATCACGACCGTTTATCATATATTATGAGATTAATTTTCATTAGATAATATTTATAGGAATGTGCTATCAACATATTCTTTTTTACTTCTCACACACCTCTTGTTGAGTTTTGTCCTTTGATCTTCTTCAATTCATCTGATCCGACGATCGAAAATTAAAATGATGTATGAGAAGTAAAAAGATGTGTGTGAATATTACACCCCTATTTATATTCAATTTTAAATTTTACATTTTTAAATAATTTCTGACTGCACAATATGCGATGAACGGCCTTGATTGATTGATCCTCAAATCCTCACAAAGAAAATCCGAGATGATCCTTTTCCAAAATTTAGTGCCTTATTCTTGTTTACACATGAGCAAAACATAATTAAATAAGAATGGTGATATTCATACCTCTTTTTATCTATTACATACTTTTTCACATTTTTGCAGTCGGATCAAGAATTAAAAAATATCAAGATAGAAATTAACAAGGAATTTGTGAAGGTAGAAATAAGTATGTAGATAGCTTCCTTTTGAAATTAATACACAATGGTCTCACTTTTCGACCCTCGTACCGAATGGATTAAATAAAATAAAATAATATAAATTAACAAGGAGTGTATGGGAGTAAAAATTGAGTATGTAGATAGTGTTGAAAAATATTAGTGTTTATTTAATTATTTGGATTTCGCTTGTTAGTATAAGATTTATGCCTAACCCATATGAGTTTAGGTTTTTTAGGTTTTGTTCTTTATAAATATAGCTTGTAGTTTAGTGTGATAAACAAGTTAGTAACAATGTAGTCCTTTCGAGTTTTGTAGCCGTCTCAGATAATATGTAGTGCTCTTTTGTTTGGTTAATTGAGTGATATATTTGTTTTGAACTCTGCTTGTTTGTTCTTTCATTTTGGGTACTTTGATTTTTCGCTCTTAACTGAAAATTGTGTAAAATTTTAAGAACAACTTACATAGTATGAATTTATATAGTAACATTTTGATTTAATAGAAAATCATGTATAAAATTTTCTGTACATACATAGCTTTGAACTGTGAATCGAAATTTTACAAGAAGTTAATCCACCACATAAAGCTTAAGAGTAATAACAAAAGAAAAATCTAAACGGTCTAATTCGAACTTGATTAAGAAAATAAAGAAATAAGTACATCTTGAAATGCATGCTCACGCAAAATGTACTTATCAGTGTTAAATGTTAATGGAAAACCAATTATAAGCAACAATACTGCTTTCTAACTCTAATTTTGAGGACTCCCATTTCGATGCCCGCAACGGAAGACCGATAGCTGGAAATTAACAATGCTTAGTGCATGAACTCTTTGCTCATTTATTTATGTTACTTGAGATCATATATCACACCACTTCCAAAACTTACAAATCATTGCTGGCCAGTAAATGGGCTTTCATGAGCCTCTAAAATATCTTTTGTACCATGACAATAAGTGAAGGATTCAAGATTTTAATACTAGATGGTCCCAATATAAAAGGAAAAAGGATCCTTGACAGGTCATTTTTTTAGGGATTCCGTAATCGTGACCGTTCATCGTACATCATGCGGTCAGTTTATTAAGTACTATTTATATTTAATTTTAAATTTTAAATTTTGAAATGATTTTTGATCGCATAATATATGACAAACGATCACAATCACGGAATCCTTAGGATTCCCAGGAAAATGCTCCAAAAAATATTAGATGAAATATAACTTTGAAAATTTAAATGATAAATTACAATTTTTCATTCATAATATGTGTACAAACAACATTACAAGCCATAAAGACTAAATTTGTCTATGACGAGGTTTTCATACTCGAATGATTTTCGCTTGTAATATCGTTTCATACTCCTAATTTCTACACATATCAATTAAGCAAAACAAAAAACCATATCAATTGATGAAGTAAAAAATATAAATGAACTAACCAACACATGATCCAAACAATATCAAAAAATCACAACAAATTAACAATAACTATAATTTAACATTCTACAATATTAATTTAGATTAAAATGAAAAATTTACTTAAATTAAAAAATGAAGAGATTAAAAGGTAGTGGAGAAAAAACACCTGACTGGTTGTCCGTGGACCCGGTTTTTGGAGGAAGGGAGTGGAATTGGGGAATGGGATAACCAATTAGGCTTGTTAGTATTGGAATTGAAAAGTCAGATGTCTTTGACAGTTTGAATTTTTTTTTGTTTTTTTTTAATAAAAAATGGCAAAAACTATATATCAAAGAATGGGATTTAGTATAGGCTCAAAGGTGGATGTCTTTTCAAACCATTTAACTGAAAGCACCGTTTTACTTAAATGACTTGACTCAAAACGACGTCGTCTTGGTCAAGTCATTTGAAATATAATTAGTCTTCTTCTTCCTCCTGGTTTCCAGAATGCAAAATGCCAGAACAATGTGCAGTCATTTTGGCCAAGTCATTTGAAATCGAATTAGTCTTCTTCTTCCTCATGGTTTCCAGAATGCAGAATACCAGAACGATGTACAGCCACACTTCTCCTCCTACACTACATGCCTAGACTTGGGTGGTCCTTAGAGGTACTCACAACCACTTATTTGGACTTCCGAGTGGTCCTGGGACCACCCAGGTCCCTTAATAGATTCACCCCTGATGACAATGCTCCAATTGGTTTTATTCATCATTGTCTTGGTAAGTTATTGTCTCACTAACTAGTGTTAATTGAGCTTCTTTGCTCCTTAGTCTAAGGGGGTATTAACAACCATTTCTAGCTATTATTTTCTTTAAAAAATTCGTACGATGGAAGATCTTGAATTTGAAACTTTCTATATCCACTGTTTCGCGTGCAATAATATGGGGGCGTTGTTGTTTAGAAACACACAAACAACACATTTGCTTCCACATTCTGCAATACGTGAGAAACCTACATACAATATTAGAGCCCAACTACTGTAGATTGTGAGGCAAATTAATAGTTTTATCGTAATACAATGTTTATATTTAGGGATAATAATAATAACAATAATAATAAAATACGCATTATAACTTAATGAACCACTACATCACACCACTTTCTCACAGTCACACCAAATAATTTCTTCTGACCATGAGATTTAGCCGCCACAGAACTAGTACCCTAAGGATGGGGATTCTTTCCACTCCCTATTCCGCACCCCCTAGTTTTATTTTCTCCTTTCTCTCTCTACAAAGTATAAAAAAAAAAAAAAAAAAAAAACAAGATGAGATTTTGAGCGTTCAAATAGGAGGGGAGAGAAGAGGAGGAAAAGGGAGAGAATCATACTTCGTACCCTAATCTAGCTTTAGAACACAACATTGAGTCTAACGTGAATTACGATTATTTTAGAGAATTTTTATTAGCACTTTAAATTTTTAGTTGTGCACTTCAAGCTTTCTATAAGAAAAAAAATATTTTTATAAAAAAATACACAATTAAAATTTTAAATTGCTAATAACAGTTTCGTAATTTTTTTTTACCATAATCGTCTTATCTAGTTTTGTAGGGACGTTATTTTCAAACGGAAGTGACAAAAATGTACAAAGGGAATAGAAAGATCACAACCTTAAGTTTGGTCCAAATAGACTTGGCCCATTGGAAAAAATTATCAGCAAGGCCGCACAGGCCTGCCCTGCAATCAACCCACCCCGTCATTGCCTCCCAGGTTCAAGTGCCATCTACGACGCCGAGGCCCTCCTCGTTCAGCTGTAGCGTACCTCGCGTTTTGCAGACACACAGAAGAAAACGACATAAAACGGATAAGCACGGCGGCACATTGTCACCCACCACCGCTTCTTCACTCTTTCTTCTTTCAACCTTCTGCCCCATCTCTTATGTAATACTTCTCCTTCCATTTGAAAACGAAAGAAGCTCGCTCTGCTTTGGGTAAGCTCTCTCTCAAGCTTCATCTTTTCTTCTCTAAGTTCATTTCTGTTTGTCACAAAAAACCCAACCCAACTCTGCAAATTTGTTTTTCTATCTATTTTCTTTGCTGTATTTCCGTTTAAGCATGGTGTTTTGAGTAGTGGGTTGTGGTTTTATACATAAGTAGGTGAAGTTATGGATTTGATGGTACCTGTGAAGCAAACCCCTGATGGGTTTTGCTCATTTCACAGAGTTGGTAGGCAGAGGACAAGAAAGACTGGTAATTTTGGACCTACGCTTTGTGGTAAGGTTGGACCCACCAAACCCAGTTCTGGGAGGCTCTTTGTGGGCTGCAGAGCTCGGTTTCTTGTTCTCTCTGATAGCATTCAGTGTAGAATACAGGACGGTTACCAGAAACATAGGCGAAAGCGTGTACTTGCTGTGTCGAAAGTTGAAACGTTTAGTTCCAATGGTAGGCTGCAGAATGTTGAGTATGCCCCACATGGGGGTTTGAATGGAATGGACTCTTCCAATGGTTTCGAAGAATTTGAGAGTAACAATCATCTCCGCAGGTTGGTTAGAAATGGGGAATTAGAAGAGGGATTTAAGTTTCTAGAGAACATGCTTTATCGCGGTGATATGCCGGATATTATTGCGTGTACGAGTTTAATCCGGGGGTTTTGTAAGAGTGGAAAGACAAAGAAGGCGACTCGGATTATGAACATTCTAGAAGACTCCGGGGCTGTCCTTGATGTTATAACTTACAATGTCTTGATCAGTGGCTACTGCAAGGCTGGTGAGATTGATAATGCTTTGAGGGTTTTGGACCGGATGAGTGTTTCTCCAGATGTTGTTACGTATAATACAATTTTGCGTACTTTGTGTGATAGTGGGAAATTGAAGCAAGCAATGGAAGTTCTTGATCGACAGATGCAAAGGCAATGTTATCCAGATGTGATTACATATACCATACTGATCGAAGCAACTTGTAAGGAAAGTGGGGTTGAGCAGGCGATGAAGCTTTTGGATGAGATGAGGAGCAAAGGATGCAAGCCTGATGTGGTCACTTATAATGTTCTTATAAATGGAATTTGCAAGGAAGGACGGTTGGATGAAGCAATCAAATTCTTGAACGGCATGCCATCATCTGATTGCCAACCAAATGTCATTACCCACAATATTATTTTGCGTAGCATGTGCAGCACTGGGAGGTGGATGGATGCTGAGAAACTATTAGCTGAAATGGTTCACAGAGGCTGTTCTCCCAGTGTTGTTACTTTCAATATTTTGATTAACTTCTTGTGCCGGAAGGGTTTATTGGGTAGAGCAATTGACATTTTGGAGAAGATGCCTAAGCACGGTTGTACACCAAACTCCTTGAGTTACAACCCATTGCTTCATGGCTTTTGCAAGGAAAAGAAGATGGATAGGGCGATTGAGTATTTGGATATAATGGTTTCTCGTGGCTGTTATCCCGACATTGTAACCTACAATACTTTGCTCACAGCTTTGTGCAAAGATGGAAAGGTTGATATCGCAGTTGAGATACTTAATCAACTAAGTAGCAAGGGTTGCTCTCCTGTTCTAATCACATACAACACAGTGATTGATGGGCTCTCAAAGGTGGGGAAAACAGAACGTGCCTTAGAACTTTTGCATGAGATGCGCAAAAAGGGTTTAAAGCCCGATGTAATTACTTATTCTTCTCTTGTGGGAGGGCTTTGCAGAGAAGGAAAGGTTGATGAGGCAATTAAGTTTGTCCATGATTTGGAAGATGCGGGCGTCAAGCCGAATGCTATCACTTTTAACTCCATCATGTTGGGGCTTTGCAAGGCTAAGCAAACTTGTCGTGCAATTGATTTCCTCACTTATATGGTATCTAGAGGATGCAAACCTACTGAAGCAACATACACAATTCTCATTGAAGGCATAGCTTATGAAGGGTTAGCAAAAGAGGCTCTGGAGTTATTGAATGAATTGTGCTATAGAGGGGTTATGAAGAAAAGCTCTGCTGAACAAGTGGCGGTCAAGATGTAGATGGACGCAGTTGGTATGTCATTGTTTAAGTATTGGCTTTGAATTTCGTCGGCCTTATTTTCATGATAATGATTTCCATGGTGTCCAAAATATGTTTTCTTTAATTCACTCATTTTCTTTGTCTCAAGGTGCAAAATCCAAAATCGATTTTGTTAGATATCCATGTACTCTTCTCGTCATTTTATTTGATCTGATTCTTGTGCTTTGATGAATCCATGGTTGTCTGTCGAGTAGTTTCCAATATCTAAAATATTTATACTTGCTCCAGTTTTCCACATTATGCCAACCTGTAATCAATGTGATAGTTACCTTTAATGCTGCAAAAGATAACTAAAGAGTTGCTGTTAAAAATTGTATCATTGCTCTTTAATTTTGTGATTTTTTTTGTTATATTCTCTTTCCGTTGTTAAAATTATTGTTTGCGATTGTTTTGGCTTGAGATATTCTGTATTGAAGACTGATTCTGAGTAGATTGTACCGTGTCCGATTTACTTCACACATCAAAGTTGAAAGGCGTCTGAGTAGCTCATACGGACTAAGTTTAAACGTAGTAGTTAAGGGCGGACCGGACAATATAGGATTTTGTATTTCGGAGCGGTTAGGCTAGGATTGGATTTGATAGGTTGGCTTTTTGTCTATTGTTTGGTGTAGTTTAACTCCACTGGATTTGGATTGGATTGAAATGTGAAATGGCTTAGCTTAAACAGAGAAGTCGAGACCACGACGACGACAGACGGTTGTTTGCGACCCCCCAATCACCAACCCACGACGATCAACCCCGAGGTTTGCGACCTACGACCTCCTCCTGCATTCAGATCGACACTCACAAATCCCAACCCGCCAACCCACCATCATCCACAATGCTGGTCACACTTCTAGAAAGGAAGTGTACGATTTCCACATGTAATCAGAAATGGGATTCTGAAAAAAGAAGCACGACGGTGCTACAACGACGAGGAAACTGTAAAGAAAAGCTTCCGGTACTGTTCATTTTAACGAAAAATCATATTTTTACACTAAAAAGTCAATTTTGGTACCATTCACTTTACTCTTTATTTTATTCTTATCGTTAAAACTCAAAGTTTTTAAGCTTTTTTTGTTAGTTTTCTCCCACAACAATGCTTGCGATGACCCCGCGACGATGCTTGGGATGATGCAGCAGCGCTGCTCCAACAACCATGCGATGAAGGAAAGAGACGACGACAAAGAGCAGAGGAAGATGTTGACATAAAGGAGGCGGCACCTCGCCTCATCTGCGACGATTAGACTTGTAACCCGTGTGTGGGGTTTGGTTACATAATCTAGCTATTTTGAATTCGTAACCTGTCCTGTCAAAATTCCATTTAGCACCACAAACAACAGACTCAGACTCCATTTTAATTGACTAGAACCCATCCCATTATGCCCACCAAACGGGCCCTAAGGGACTGTAAATTAGGCTGCGGTTATCTTGTCATTGACATCCACCCGAGTTGGTGTGGTTCCTCCCTGCACTTACCTGAGGGAATCATATATGCATGCATCTTCATTGACATCCACCTGAACTTGGTGGCTTCCATCTGCACTACGCCGTGTTCTCATAGGGAGTCGGTATGCATCTTCACTCACATCTGCCTGAACTAGGTGGTTTTTGTCTGCACTAGGCCATGTTATCACGGAGGATAATGCACAATCATTACCAGGGTTCTGAATCCTGATCTTCCCGTGCAACATCACAGATGCATGACGTGCGCTAATGTCATCAATGCTTGTGCATGCCAGCACGGACGTCTATGAGACCAATACTTGAAAATTGAAACCGTTATTGGTAAAAGCACCAAGTCATGGAGAATATTCCATCTCCCAGAGGAAAAAACGAAGGTGTTTTTTCTTGCTGGGGACGTATAAAGTTGAAGCTTCCATGGATAAGAGGATTAAGACGATATACAACCGCAAGGCAGAGAAGTGTTGGAAATCCCCGCGGCCGTTTCCGGTCCGATCCTTCGAGCTATGCACAGAACTTCGACGACGGTTGGGACCAAATGAATGATGAGGACTCTGCTAAACGCGGTTTCTCAGACAGTCACGCTGCCCCTTCATTCAAATCACATGGAGATCATAAGGAACAAACTTTGTGTTACACTATACAAAAGTAGAGGCAATAGCTGATTCATAAGCAATGTTATTTGATTCAAACTCCCATGGAGATCATAAGGAATAAACTTTTTGTTATACTACACAAAAGAGGCAATAGCTGATTCATAAGCAATGTTATTTGATTCAAACTTAATTTACCTATTATTTGTAAATATATCTCATAATAATAAAATGTGCCCAATAAATATGTAATCATACAGAGAAAATAAATTACTTACAAAATAAAGAAATGTTTTTTTATTCAAAATTAATTTACTTACAAAATATATGTTATTTCTAAAAAATGCTAGGCGCTAGTCGGGCGGCGAGCTGGCGCCTAACGCCTATGTTGGTGGCTAGGCGGGGTCTAGGCGGGCGCCTAGGTAGATTTAGGTAAATTGCTTATATATCTTGTAAATAAGTGCATATTGATACTTACAAAAAATTATATTTGTATGAAATTCATGAGTAAGATAATAAAAAATGATAAAATGCAAAAAAACAAGGTTCTAAAAGATGCTAGGTGCCAGTCGGGCAGTGGACTGGAGCCTAAAGCCTAGGCGGACTAGACGGATTTAAGAAATTTTATTATATATTATATAAGTTAATTAAATTTACTATGTAATATATAAGAAAGACATGAAAAATATATATATATATTTTTTTTTTCAAAAAAATAGTATATGTGACGTTAGAGTTTCAAGTATATAATCTGATCTTCAAAGAGACTTTCAAGGTCTAAAAGATGGATTTCCCAAATAAAACAATTTAATTTAAAAATAATAATAATAAATATCAGATATTTTGAATAAAATTAGTGTTTAACATTTTCTTTAAACCACATGGTGGCCTCTCCACCTCACTCCCTCACATCATCCAAGGTTCCCAACCGTGGAGCCACGTCAAAGATTCATCCCATGTCTCTCACGTAACCCAAGGTCCTAAATTGAGACTCCCAATCCCATATCAGACATAAAATAGTGTAAAAATTTCAAAATTAACACACACCAACACATTTGACGCATTGGAAAGCGGAAAGCTTTTATTTGGGGTTTCTTTTTTGTATCCTCTTCCTCCTCTCTCACTTCTTCTTCGTCTACTTTAGTTTGTTCTTCTATTTTGCCATGTAACTTTCCTCCTTCGATGGAGTGCAATTTTCAATTTGAATTGTTCTCTCTCCCATCATTCCTCTTCTCTATAGATCATCCATGTTCTGCTAAAAATATGACGGCGAGTGAAACGGAAAGATGTAACGCGCCTACAACAACCAAAGCCAAAAAAAAAAAAAAAAAAAAAAACTACCGCCATGGTCAGCGTCTAGGCCGCCGCTCAGGCCGCCTAGATTGCCTAAAAAGTGTCTAGGTCTAGGCGGGCGCCTAACTCCTACCCGATTTGGCCTAAGTCGCAGCAGCACTCTATCGCCTAGCGCCTAGGCGGCCACCTAACCCGATTTTTAGAACACTGATATTTGCATATAGATAAATTTCTAGTATAATATTTTTTTTAATGTATATGGAGTTGTTGAATTTTACAAGTTTGTAGTACATAATAAATGCTCATGCATATTGTCAATGCGGAAACCTATTGTATAACAAGTATCTCAGATTACATTTGTGTGACTATGTGTGATACTTGAAGCATCCATGTTCAAAATGAAATGTAATTCTTCTACTCGTTTATGACATGCCCCGACCCCGATATCCCCATATACCAGGGTAGACACGTGTTGGCTGACACCTGAGGGGGATGAAGCCATTTTAAACATGCATTCAAATAAAATATGTAAATATAAAGAAATACGCAAATGCGGAAACGTGTTCAGAGCATATAACTAATCAAGAATAATGTGAAAGAACTACTATGAAAAGATACGAATAAAGGAATGGGTCCGACATTGAGAAGACTCGAAATACCTATGCGGAAGTGCCCTAACTAGGGGTGGGCAAACGGGGTATAGGAACTGACACACCCTGATCGAAATCAAGGCGTGCTGGCCGTCACATGAGGGTGACATAGCCATGTGCATAGTGCGGAAGCAAAAATAATAATAAAATTACGAATAAATAAAAACCAAACCACTAAACAATCTAGTTAAAGTACAAATGCAAGTTTGAGTGTGATAACATAATCAGAGCCAAATAACCTAAGTGCAGTCCAGAAGAACGAATACTAACTAAACACACCCAAAGGTGGTCATACACTGGTGATAATCTATCAGGGATGCCGTGGATTCCTCATAAGCCACCAAAAGAGCTATCCAAACTAGAACCTAGAAGGGCGCAAAACAGAAAGTGTGAGTAGGCAAAAACAAAGGTTCACAAAAACATTACACTTCTCAAAAGTTCTAACCCCTTTCCGTAAAACCTATATAATTTCCCAAAAAGTATAACATATACATATATCGACACATGTTTAGAAATATGCCATGTCGAATGTCTCAACATAAAAATGTAAGTAACCCAGATAATATCAATCAATGCCAATAACATGTCAGCTAGAGTCACCTAATGTGACATATACGGCTGAGTCTAGAGCTCAAATCCACATCTTACTAACTTTACCTGCACACAAGTCGGAACCACCTAAAGTGGAATGTACGACAGGATTGTGTGTAATTAAATACGCTCAAGTGCTACAATCACGTGAAGACTGGGTGAATAATCGCAGGTCACCTATGAGTCAAAACTACCTAAAGTGGTATGTACAACAAGACTGTGCACCTAACTTGGATCTAAGGTGAGTGTATGGTGCGGGAGATGAACATCACGTGAATGACTATGCCTTAACTCTGGGCGGGAGCACTAACACCAGAGGTGCAGGCTATGAGCTTTCTATGCATCTCACATAACTACTACGTCACAACCATAAACTATAACTTAACTGGCACTTACTTGGGCGTCCACAACACTAAACATATATATATATACACACACACCACTACTCATGCATAAATAAATATGTAACCACTATGCATGGCATTTTAAAACATAAAACATTCGATTTCATGTTCTGGGAAAAACCACAAGTATATAGGTATATACAGAAAACCAAAAGCCCACTCACTGATATGTGGAAGGGTCATAACTCCTGAGCCTTGAGTGACTGCGCTCGTCCTCAGAATAGGTCTCACCTGTTTGAAACCTCAAAGATCACAGGATCTCGCCGGAGAAATTCGAAAAAACTGGCTAACTTCAAAACTAGCTTTCCCGACATCTAATTCTACCCAACGAACCACTCCAAGCTTCCTAAGGACCTCATTAAGTTTCCTATAAGCTTTAAGTTCCTTGAATTTGGTATAGTTGAACTCGTATGGTCCTTACAAACACAAAGGTACCATTTTCCACCTCGATCTGTCACATTTGCAAGGGTTTTGAGTATCATTCGTACGAGTGAGAAAGGGAGATAGAGAGTCTGTAATAGGGAGAGAGAGCACTGGAGAAGACGATGTGGGTGTAAGTGTGTGTGTGTGTCATGGAGATTCAACCCTCAACATAACAAAACAACAACCTAAAATGACAAATAACCTCCAAGGGCAAAATCATCATTTCACACCTACGGTACGAATAATTCGAGACGGGCTGTCACAACAACCGCAAATTGGGGCTGGTACGGGCCGGTTTCAAATTTTTAATAAGAGAAACGGGGCGGGGCGGGGCTGGTCGGTTCCAGAAGTATAGAAAAATGGGTACCCAGACCGTCCCGTTTGTAACATTTTCCCATTCCTCTTCTATTTTCTCACACCTTCTCGAAGACTTTCCTGAGTCTCCTCTCCTTAGTTCTCCCTTTCGGATTTGTCGATTCTCAATCTCCTTCCTCTCGATCTCTCTCTCCACAGTCTCTCTCTCTATTCGGACGCCTCTGTCTCCGATCTGCTTATACAAGCCACCACATATGTCATACTCAGCTTTGATCTGTCGATTCATTCAACACCAATAAACATCAATCAAACATATCTCAACAAGAACAACAAAATCAAACCCAAAATCCCAATTGCCCAAAATGATCAAATTTTGTTATTTACCTGACTTAGGTGAGTCCGGTATCGCCACAATAAGCGTTGTTGAAGGGAGTAGAAGTGTTTATATAAAAGGTCTAGTGGAGAGGGACACCTTTGGGGTCACCGTAGACGACGTTTAGTGGGATCATTCTAGCCTGGTACGTAATCTATACCGTGTAAACTGGAACTATCATCACCAGTTCATCCATCTTCTACATCTTTGCCTTTGTTCGTGACTTATGAGTGCGATAAAATCTTGCGATCTTGTTAGTGGTTTGGTCTGGTGATTGGAATCAGAATTGGTTGATCTTACAAGAGAAGTTATTCGAGGGAAATCTGTGATGAGCAGATGGAAATTGGTTTTCTTGTGGTGACTATAATGTCCTTGTGGTGACTAGACTGGAGAATGAGTGAGTCCGA